ACGTCAGTCGAAGTGAGGGGACTGCGACCGAACACGAACTACGAGTGTTTCGTCGAAGCAAGCACAACCCCGCTGATCACTCAATGGAGCGATTCTCTCACCAGTACGTCAACGAAGTCGCCTGTCGTCACAACATGGCCTGGAAGTACGTGCTGTTTTCTAAATCGCGCTTTCATTAACACGAGTGGGCAATTTGTTCCAGTATAAAGCGCGGCGTTATTCTACTGTTTGCAGACATCTTTTGATGACGCAGCAGTGACTATGATTTAAGCACTACCTTCGATTCCTCTAGTTAAGAGCACGAAGTATCCCGAGAATGGAGTGAAGAGAGGCGCCGGAGAACACGACCGTTTATTTGCGTCGCGCCAGCCAAGTGTATCTTGGTGTGTGGATGAGCGAATAGATGACTGGCATCTGTCACCGCAATCAATGCAACGGGTATGGGTCATTGTCGCCGTGAGGTCGGACACCAGGGTTTACTCAGGCGTGATCGCTGTTAATCCATTACAAAACGGCTTGCGATGGCTGAGGAAAAATACGACTTCGATATCTGTGGCATGCATTGAGTTTGCGTTAAAATATGTAGACGAGACTAGCCTTCAAGTGGCGTCCATAGTCACCTTGAGAGCATGATGTGGTTCATGAGGAGAGACCGCTCCAACAGTCCAACGCTGCGTAATGCATGATGCAGCACAAGGCACATGTGTTAGGAGCCGGTCAACCAGAGTCAATAGTGACGCGACCAATTAGTCGAGAGCTGCATCACATTGGTTGAGTCGTGTGCAGGCGCCTGAGCAATTGTGCTTGAGCGCGAGGAGATATCGGGTGGAGGCTGTGAACAAGGCTGGCTAGGGTGGATCAGCATGGAGCCGGAGGAGGGAGCTTAGAGAAAACGTGTGTGTGGCCAACTTCGATGAATTGGGTTACACAAAAATCGTTAAGACTTGAAGGTCTGTGTAGGCGTGTTCTCCTGATGGATGCAACGATGTGAAACATCATTCGACTTTAGTGCAGATGAGTTGTCTCCGATTTTCAATGTGGCTGAAGATAAAATGACCCTTTCGATTTCAAAAAAAATGTCATTATAATCATCAGTACTTTATTCAGACTTTCATGGCATGGAAGACGCCTTTCAAATCTGCGCATTGTGTGATTTTATTTTTCGTAATCTGAGCCTGACTTTATGCCTAATCATTTCCAGTGTTTCCCAAGAACACAGTTAGCGCTCAATATTATTAATTTGCCATTACCATTAGGGGACGTTGAAAGCTGGTTAAGATTCAACTGGCAGTTAGCATGTCCTCTTACGTTTCAGCCCTTCAAAGATTATTCATTAAAGAGGTGGTGGTGGTAGACGCTCACACGCTGTTGGTTTCTTGGTACGACCCCAAAAATGTGGAAGGAACTCTTGGCGGCTTTACAGTCTCCGTTGGACGCTACGGTCGAGAATCCCCGAACAAGCCAGAGTGGCGGCATGTGGCCAACGTAACTGCTGACTCGCGATCGTACAGGATCACTGATTTGGAACCCGACACGCGCTACGAAGTCACAGTTCGTGGTTATGTGCTGCCGAACGAGGACGGACATGGCGGAGGCTACAGCCAATATCCTTATTCTCAAAGTGCCTCAACGTGGTCTGCTGGTAGGTGACGCGAGTTTTGATGCTAACGCTTGTCTCTGTTAAACCTCTTGCAGGCATCTACACCGCAACAGCATGGCGCTCACTTAAGAACACATGGTGTGGGCTTATTATAGTGCCATGTCGATTCTGAAAACGCCTTTGATGGCCAGTTTGCTTGGGGGTGCATTTATTTGCGAAATAATTTCTCATGAAGCACCTCAGTAAGGAATAAGATGAGTGTGAGAGAGCGAGATTGAGACTCGATCCTTTATATGCTGTCTCAACCCAGAAGAGTTGTGTGGGTGCGTGTGCTCGCAGTAGTGAATGAATAATATTGGTTGCGCTCGCTGTACTGCATGGTTAATGTAGGCAGTGACTAATAGCCTGGGTGAACTGGATAACGTTCAAATAGCTGAATTGTCAGGATTGTTCAAGCGATAGATGAGCAGGTACAAAACGTGTGTGGAAGCCTAAGGTACTCCATGGCCAAACTGAAGAGAGGACGCTGTGTCGAAGACCGCTGCACTCAGATTACTGGACGTAAATCACTACGACTCGCAACAGCCCTCGACTGATCAGAATGAATTGATGAGAAAGCTTTGAGCACCATTTCTGGAAGGTAGGCTGTTGGTTTTCGCAGTTGATATTTCCGAATTTTGAATACCAGTGTTGGACAAGAGTTGGGAATCGGGAAGTGGGTGGGTGAGATTCGAGAACCAAAGTAAGTAGAGTGAGATTGAGTACGAAATGCTGCCGAACCAGGTGAGAAATGAAAGTCGAGAGATGAGTCAGTGTTGAGTTTGGCAACGGTTGCAAAATTAGGCACGGCTTGAACACACAGAAATTGGGTTATGAGACAATGCCGTGATGGGAGCGAATGACGATGGAAACTGTTGCATCCTATCGGGCATGTAAGGGTTAATCGTGGGGTCTAATGGAGTTAGCGGTATCCTATCTATCAAGAAATTTTCTTCCTTTGAAACAAGTGTTCCGATCAGGCCAATGAACGCGTCTGATAAGGCGTACAGTGGTAGCAATCTGGTTATTATCGGAGTGAATGGTAGTTTGCTGCGTCTGTGGATTGTTGCTGGCAGGCAATTTTTGTCGAGGAAGGCTGGCATGAGACGGTCGACTACAAAGGTGTTTGACAGCGAGATAGGTGGATATCCAGAACTTCTTGGTCGAAGGTTCTGTAACACAGTCGATCCCTTCCAATCACCATGTGTTGCGATTAGACGTACGAATACAAGATATTTGACGAGATTTGTAGTAGATTTGAAGAAACCTTTTTCACACAGATATATAAAGACGAGCCTAGATTTTGTGTGACCGAATTAGCTCAACTGCGCTAAGCTAAGCAGTTTGTTAATTTCGATGACACAGTTCTTGAATCAAATTCTCTTCCTCACAAATGCCATATTTAAATATCACCAGGAAATTAAATGTGTCACGCAGATACAACTAAATGCTCTTCTTTTAGCGACGCGTAAAGCAACAGCAACAACGACACGTCCTGTTATCCAGCCCTCCCTTTACCTCGACTGGACTGATGCATCTGGATTACACGTAAGGTGGGATTTCCAAGACGTTATGCACGGATCAATACAGAAAATCGAGCTCATCGTGGTGCCAGTGGACAGTGATCTGGGCGTGACCAATGCCAGTGCCATTGTCGCCCCAAATGCCACAGAAGGCTCCATTACCACAGGCCTGAGACCCTACACTGAATACGATGTAGTAGTGGAATTCACTACAAATGGTGCCACAACGGCCTACACAGCAGGGCGAGCGTGGACGTGGTCGTCAGGTAAGTGACTAGTTTCCTTAATATTGCTGCCTCTGCGGCTTAAGAGGCCTTCGTTATGTCGGTTATTCCCAATTAGTGTTAAATAAGGTTTAAGAATGTGGCATTTGATTGTTCGCACAATGGCACTGTGGATGCACCTGTGACCCTCTTCGTCAATTTCCCTCATTCGCCTGTCACAGAGCAGTGGATGATCTGAAAGTTTGTCGTAAGAAAGGCCCACGTAGACTTGTGCACAGAAGGTTGACAGCACGGCCCGCCTCGTAAATCATGCGATTTAACAGACCTTCTAAGAGGCGTGACCAAGAGGCCTCGTCTGTGAGGGAGGGAAAAGGGGCGGTGTCGCACACTGAAAGTCGTCAAGCCCATGTCACGAAGCACAGCTCCATGGCATGCAGGGCACTCAAGTGGTGAAGTTGCTTCACCATGAAGCGTTCTTTTATGCCTTATTTTCTGTGCCACCTTGTCTCCTGCTTCAAGCGCATATTGACTAAACGTACAACCTATGTGTTAAACGGAAGCTGTGAGTGTGCGCAAATCTTCTAAACCTAAATCCTCGCATACACACACCTACCTACCTACATGCATGCACACCTTCATTTCCGCACCTACCTGCCAGTATACATGTTAAGCGAGAGAGTGGACTCAATAGAATGTGTGTTTACATGACATTTGAGTGTTCATTTAGTATTCAGCTTGCACTCCACTAGCAGAAGAAGCTTCCCTGCCCATACCCATGTTAGAATGATGCCCAAGCACATTTGCCGGATTAGTGAACGCAGTATTGGTTAGTGCAGTGTGGAGACGGTTCTGATAGAAAGGCGAAGTGGTTACGCTTATTCTCCACAGCCGGTTAGCTACTTGGCTCAGTGCTCTCCTGCTGGCATTAATCAGTAGTGAGCAAAGCAGTCGTGTATCGATGAAATCCAAATCCACCTCCATTCGTGATCATTGCCTAATCATGCAAGCACTTGCGTCAAGCTTAGCACACATCACGTTGCAGCCCTAGCCAATTTGCACTACACTTGGAAAGTTAAAGTCACATCAGAAAGGCCAGTTGCTGACAAGGCCAAGTCGCTTCACCATTGACGCGTTGTTTTATGCTCTATTTTCTGTGTGTCCATGTCGCCTGCTTCAAGCGCATATTCATTACATTCTCAGCCTACGCTTTGCATGGAAGTTGCGACTGTTCGCAAATCAAAATCTAAACCCTTGCATATACACACCTTGATACTTGCACCTCCATGTGTAGTGGTTTTTGATTTTGCACTACCTTAAAACGCTCTAGTTAACAAACCGTAACTACCCGAGGAAAGAGGGAAAAGCGGCGACAGCCAAGTGGCTTTGTGTGCGTATCAGTACGCTTGTGTAACAGGCGAATGCTGACAGGGGCCAATAATAAAAGGCGCGAGTCACGGGTCCACTCGGGCCCTCATTCACTCACCACTCACGCGAAGTGGCTGTCAGTCCACTACACTTGCATGCATACCTACACGCATGGTACGCTAGTTAGCGGACTCAATAGAATGTGTGTTTTCATGACAGTTGAGTGTTCATATGGTACTGAGCGTGCACTCCACTGACAGGATAAGCTTCCATACACAAGTCCACGTTAGATTGATGCCCAAGCGCATTTGTCCGATTTGTCAACACACCATTGGTCAGTGCATTGTGGAGACGATTGTGATAGAAGGACAACGTGATTACGCGCATCCTCCGCAGCCAGTTAGTAACTCGGCTTAGTGATCTCCTGCTGACATTAAACAGCAATGATCGAAGCAGTCGTGTATTGTTGAAATCCAAATCTACTTTCATACTTGGTCATTGTCTAATCATTCAAGCACTTGCGTCGAGCCTAGGACACATCACGTCGCAACCCTAGTCAATTTGCACTACACTTGGAAAGTTAAAATCACATCAGATAGGCCAGTTGCTGACAAGGCATATTTTGACTCCCATTCTAGCTCCCTCACCACCAACCGACATCACTGCTAAGGCACTAAGTTCGAGTTCCATCATGGTCTCGTGGTCACCACCAGCTCAGACAAACGGACCTCTCAAGCCATACAGGGTGCACTGCACTAGGGTCGGCGAGAAACGGCCTCACTCTGCTACCACGAAGGACAACGCGACGACGTCAGTCGAAGTGAGGGGACTGCGACCGAACACAAACTACGAGTGTTACGTTGAAGCAAGCACAACCCCGCTGATCACTCAATGGAGCGATTCTCTCACCAGTATGTCAGCGAAGTCACCTATCGTCACAATGTGGCCTGGAAGTACGTGCTGTTTTCTAAATCGCGCTTTCATTAACACGAGGGTGCAATTTGTTCCAGTATAAAGCACGGTGTTATTCTAGTGTTTGCAGATATCTTTTTATGACACTGTAGCGACTATGATTTAAGCACTACCTTACAACCCTCTAGTTAACTGTCCGAAACATCCAGAGAATAAAGTGAAGAGAGGCGACAGAGAACACGACCATTTATTAGCGTCACACCAGCCAATTGTGTCTTTCTGTGTGTGTGTGTGTGTGCATGAGTGAACGGATGACTGGCATCCGTTACCGTAGCCAATGAAAATGTGATGAGTCATTGTCGCCGTCAGATCGGCAATTAGGGTTCAATCAGACGCGACCACTGTTAATCCGCTACAAATGTTTCTCACCAAGAGGGTTAGTTGTGAAAGAGTAAACGCTCTATAGCTACCGAACAGAATCAGCAAAGCGGACAAGGGGTCTTAAGGGTAGGTTGACTTGACTGGTGGAAACGGGAAGTGGTCCGCTGTCGTTGTTAAGGCTGTCTAGATGATAGTTCATTCAATCTTGGTGGGTGGGTGGCTACATGTTAGCTGCTATACCAGGGGAGATGGTTCGATTTTCTTATCCGTGGGTGAGATACTCGTGGCAGTTATCGGCCATTTCTTCAAGCGCATCTAAATGTACGCTTGAGCTTTGGAACGAAGTGATTGTGTTCGTAGTTCAAACTAATTTGTTTTACTAAGCTGTAATGAGCTATTTTCCTACTTAGTTATATTAGCTAAGCTCTCTGCATTAGGTCAGATGTTTCCAAAATAACATAAATGAAATCAATTTTATTTTTTGTTCTCTTTTTTTCTCGATGATTACATTGAGGCCCGGTGACAACTGAAGAGTGTCTAGTTTCCTCAACAGGCAAACTGTTTAGTTAATTGACCTTGCTTCCCCGCCTAACTTTGGTGCTTACCTTCATGTCTGTCTTATGAGATATGCCATTATTTGTCGAAATCATCTGCAGCCCTACGTTGTAGACGAGTGGACACCTTTGGTGACGCACCTGGTATGTTAACCTGTTTCAGTCGGAGGGCGGCGTGTTAGCCTTTCCTTATTTTGTCCTCGAGTTCAACTTAAATGGGCAAACAATGCGAAGTTATGTGAACCACTATTTGCACACCCAAAGCTTTCTCAATTCTCGATGGTTTGGAATGATAACTAGTGGCTTGTGGGTCAGCTTGGAGTTTACCTCGGTTAAGAAATCGCGGTTGATGTCACTAAGTGCATGCGCATTGACGGGTAGCAGTGGCTTCGTGCAGTCAGTGCTCTGCTCACACTTGTCTATGCTTCACATTCCCCCGTAACCCTTTGATGTATTGGGGTTATAGCAGAAGCGAATTTGGCTTTTTATGTGTGCTTTTAACACTAGTTTCTCAAATGCAATTACCCGTCCTTTCAAAAAGCCTTGCTTTTGAAGATTCATCGATACGTGCTGCAAATGAGAACGTAGCACTGTCGTCTGGATCGATTGCTGTGATCGTTGTTCCGTGCTTGTTAACCGTTATGATAGTAACTACTGTCCTAGTACTCAAAGCCCCCTCGCGACAAAAAAACTGTCATCAGCGCTGATGCCTGCCACAACGCTTTTGTTAATGAGTAAGTCAAAAGTATGTAGAAAATTTCTGCATTTTTATAATTACTTCTGTAAACCGAAGCAAATGTTATCCCTAACAAGACTTCGAATTTGGATTGCAAAGCATTGACTCGCATTTAACGGGCTCGAAAGCGGAGTGGTATGGAAAAAGGCGACGAGGAGTGTGCCAGCAGCGGCAGCAGTAGCAGTTTGCAGCCGTCGTGCACAGACACGCAGCCCACCCCCTCACTAGCGTTCGTTGGACGTGCTTAAACTTATCACGAGCGCTGGTGCAACGCAGCATTGTGTAATTGCGGGTGCCTCCGCGGGTCGATTCTTGTCACATGTTGTGCGGTTACGAGAGCGTAGTTCTGTAGACCTATTTGGATACACTGACTGTGTTTCAACTTTGATTGGCCCAGTTGTGAGCTGTGGAATGAATGGGAATAGCTTGGCAAACATCTCAGTGTTTGAACTGGCGGAGGTCACTGTGTGCACTCATCCAACAGAGACGGACTGATAGCTCACGTCAGGCATGCGAATCTTTCAATCACTCTTCTGCTACAAATGTCGATTAAAGCTAAATATTTGACTCCTAGCGGATTTTAATACCTGTCAAATTATAGTGTTGCAAATTATTTACCCATTTTCTGCTTTAGGTTTTAATGAATCAACACTGCATAAAAGGCGCAACGTGCTGCTTTCATGTGATTTGTAACTTGATTCATTAACATCATCATCACCATTTTCATCAGCAATAACAACAACTAGAGTTTTGCCTGTTCTCTCATAGAAAAATAGCTAACCATTCTCCAATCAAGGACTTTGGTTGCGGTGGTACCATGACTAATGGGAGGGGAGTTTGGCATTGTAGTGGCTTATGGCCTATGCACTACTTTAAAACCCCCTAGTTAACAGCTTGAAACAACCCAAGAGTGGAAAAAGAGGCGACGGTGAGCACGACCATTTATTAGCGTCACGCCAGCCAAGTGTGTCTTAATGTGTGTATGAGCGAACGGATGACTGGCATCTGTTACCGTAACCAATGTAACGGGTATGAGTCATTGAGTCATGGTAACCAGGGTTCACTCCGCTACAAATGTTCTTCACTGAGAGAGTTAGC